AATGAACTTAACCTTGCCAATAGCAAGTTTGAATAAAGTTTGACAAGATTTATATTCAATAACTGATTTCCATGGTGAAGGGCTCCTCCAAACCTAAAAGCCAAAGACAAACCGTGAGCCCATTGAAAAATTGCCAAAAGATAAAAACAAGAATTTCACTGATGGAGAAATACGAATGCAGGTAACTAAAATATGAAAGATCCTGAAATGTTAAAGATAGAGGAATATGGAGATAGCAAGTTCTTCATGTGCCATTGGTTGAAAATAAAAACCTATAATATCCAAAGTTGGTAAGCAAGAGAAGAAACAAATAAAAAAATATATACTACTGGTGGGAGTATAAATTTGCAAAACGTTTGAAAATAATTTGATAATATGTGTCAGAAACAGGCTGGGGATGTGGCTCAAGCAGTAATGTGCTCGCCTGGTATGCACGGGGCGCTGGGTTCGAACCTCAGCACCACATAAAATTAAAATAAAAGATGTTGTGTCTACCAAAAACTGAAGAATAAATATTTTAAAAATTCTCAAATTCTCTCTCTCTCTCCTCTCTCTTAAAAAAAAAAAATGTGTCAGAAACAAAATGGCACATTTTCGTTTGTCCAACAGTTCCAGTATTAAATCTTCTTAATATAATCATCTTTGAACTTATAGTTATGCAAAAATGATTATTGCAATATTGCTTGTACCAGTAAAAAAAAAAAAGAGGAAGTGATGTAAATATCCATTATTTAGTGACTAGTAAATAAATTGATTAAAACCAAATGCTAAGTTATTGAAAAAGCAACAACAACATAAATCCCAGCAACATAAATTGCTAATATGAAAAGAACTCTAAGGTACGTTACTTGTGAAAACACAAATTCTTGGTTTTTTTTTTTTTTTCTCCCTAAAATGCCCATAAAACTGTTTATGGTGAGCATATCAGACAAACTGAACAGGGAAGAGTAATAGGGTACTGAATTTTCATTTCATACCTTTCAGGGTTTTGTGCACATATTACTTTTAATTTTTAAAAATAGAAAAGTAGGACAGGAAATAAAACACCTGTAATTCTTGCTGAATAATAACTAATCTCCTTTTTTATTTTTTAGGGCCCTTGGGCCTCTGATGTGAACCTGCCTGTTAAACTTTATTTCTCATTATATTTTTCTACCTTAACTTCTGGATCCATTGGACTGCTTGCTTGGTACCAAACATCTCCATTCATTTTGGGTCCCCTCCCTACCTCCTTCTCAGTGCCAGTACCTCCTACTGGAGTGACCTCAGTCCTTCTGTGCAAGTTTGCACCCACTCTTGTTTTAACTCCCATGTCCTTTAGTTCAGTCTCCACTGATATCTGAGCTGAAAATAATGTTTCCTGCACATGAACTGGCATAACCTACCTTGTTAAGTTCTACTTGGACAATCACTCTGTGACTTGGTATTCTGTACGGGGTGTCTGCTGCTATCAGGAACAGAGGAGCAGGATGTGGGAATGTTGTATCTCAGAAACCTCCCAGAATGCCTAGCACAGAGCCAAGCTCAGATGTGATGTCAGCTGTCTGACAGGCTCAGTGCCAAGCAAGATATGGCCATTGGTAGTAGTGTCAGCATCCTGAACACAGAAGAGAACTGTCCTGCCTGGTGTCAGGAGCAGGAACAGGTGCAGCATTTTTGGAGGACCAATGACTAGCCATCAATTTCTCTCAGTATCTACATTCATCACTAGACATCTACAGGGAATTGGTTCCAGGACCCTGGCAGGTAACAGAATCCATAGAATTCAAATCTTTCATATAAAATGTCATCATATTTGTATATAACTTACATATGCATCCTCCCATGTACTTTAAATAATCTCTGTATTACTTATAATAACTATCATAAATGCTATGTCAAGAGGTGTTATGCTGCATTGTTTAGGGAATAATGACAAGGAAAGAAAGTTTTCACTTGTTCAGTACAGATGCAGATTATGCATTTTATTTTCAAATATTTTTCATTCATGATTGATTGACTCTACAGATGCAGAACTGGTAGATATGGAAGCCAAAGTGATTTTTTTTTTTTTGCTTTTGTTTTTGGTACCAAGGATTAAACCCAGGGGCACTTAAGCACTGAACCACATCCTCAGCCCTTTTTAATTTTATTTTGAGACTAGGGGGTTTCTAAATTGTTGAGATTGGCCTCAAACTCACCATCCTCCTGCCTTGCCTTCCCTGGGGTTATAGGTGTGCACCACTCTGCCCAGCAGCCAGTGTTTTTAAAAAGGGAAGGACACTCAGGCCATGGATTCTGGACATCTTGATATTCTGAGTTTTTGAGACTCCTTCAGGCTCACTTGGCAGAATTGGGAGCAGCGCCTACATGGAGACCCTGTCTCTGGGCTAACTCCCATCCTTCTCCACCCACAATACCAACTACCACAAGAGCCTCATTGTGTAGGAAGCTCCCAGCAAACAAGGTTAAAGTCCACCCATTCAGGTGTCATCTCATCATTTGTATAATCTGGGAGTTGCATTCCTGAGCAGCGGACCCTCTTTTCAGAACCTGCCTAGTTGAGATGTCACTTCCCTGACAGTGAGGCACTTAGGCTCCAAGAGAGAAAATCACCATGCGCTCCCTCCCTTTCTCAAATTTTCCCTAACAATTAACGCTGCACTAACTTGACACCCTCTTCCTTGTTTGGCTTTGTAAACCCAGGTCCTTTTTTCTATTAATTCCAGACATTAATATTTTCTTTCACGCAACTGCCGCCATTCACCCGTGAAACAGTTTGAACATTATGTAGCTGTCAAGATGCCTGGGGATTACCCAGTATGCCTTGCCTGTGAGAAAGTGACACCACGGAGGCCGAGTTTTGAGATGTTTATTTTGAGAGTACGCTGACAAGCATGAAGGCCTGATCCCAGAGTGGCAATTTCATTTAATTAAAGGCCTCTTTTTATTATAGTTTTCCACCATATATATATATATATATATCAGAATGATTGTTAAAGTCTGGCTAGCCAGAGGATTTCTCTTGGACTGTTAAAGGGAGGCGGGTGGGCGGGTTGCTCCCTCGCTACTGAGAATCCACTGAATGACTGTGAATGCATTTATTTTCACTATCCCTCTAAGAGCTGCTGCTCAACATGTTGTGTGTGTGCCCAAGTTTCAAATCAGAGGAACTGGGCTTCTACCCATATTCTGTGTTGCCAACCTTAAAATGTGAGAGTTGAATATATACATGTATCTATAGCTTAATTTCTTTTGTTTAGAGTTATTATCCTGGAGGCTGGGGAATCACTCAGTGGTAGAGCATTTACTTGGCATCTGAGAGGCCATGGGTTCCATCCCCAGCATAGTAAAAAGAAAAAAAAAAAAAGTCAGTAGCCTTGTTATGCTGGAAGGCTGACTTTTCAGATTTTACCTTGGTATACCTATTAAGACTTTCTTTCATTGGTGCATTATGATTGTACTTAATAGTGGGATTTGTTAGGCCATATCTGTACATATATATAGCATAATTTGAGCAATTATTCCCAGGACATCTCCTTTCCCCACCTCTCTTCCTGTATAGTGATGTTACTTTCAGCTAAAATCGTTGGGAAACATTTTTTTTTTAAGTAATTTTTAATATGGGGCTAAATAAAAACACAAAAGGACCTGAAAAATAATTCAATTAATTAATGATGGGTATTAACAATTCTGGGGCTAGGGCTGGGGCTCAGCGGTAGTGTACTTGCTTAGCATTTGTAAGGCACTGGGTCAGATTCTCAGTACTGCATATAAATAAATAATATAAAGGTCTATCAACAACTTTAAAAAGTCTTTTTAAAAATTCTATAAATGCTTGTGCCAGAGTAACCTAATCGATAATTTATATTCTTATATAATATTTGCTTCACTTTGATATTAGAAATTCATTTCAGTAAATATTTATGGGGACCTATCTTCCCTGTCCAAGCCACTTGGGGTAGATTGTTGGCCTTCATATACCTTTTCATAGTGCTATGCTTCAAAATGAACTACAATGCCTCAAATTTGAATTTCTTCTTTATAGCATTTTCAGATGATCTTCATCTATCCCCTCATTGATTTTTCATTCATTTATGCCTTTTTTTTTCTTTTCCTCAGGTATTAATGAGCTAGCATATCCCAGGCACTGTACGATGGTGCCTACGCATGTAACACACGGACACAGCCCATAATTCACATGTTATGTCTAAAGCCTGTTTTTTTCCCCCTCTCAATTGATCTGAAAACTATGGAAGAGGATCTGCCATTGCCCTTCATTTTACTTTGAGCACAGTAACTGGAGGGACATTATTCTTCCCTTTTGGTGTCCATTTCACAGCCCCTGGGAAGAACCCAGCAGGTCAGCGGTGTCAGGGCTGAGGCCAGCTGAGGGCCTGGCTGACTGGAGTTCCACTGGCAGGGGGGAAACAATGCTCTCTGCTGTCGTGCAGGTGCCTGGGTGCACAGAGAATGGCAACTCTGTTGTTTTAATCTCTACGTCCCCAGATCCAGTCTGAGTCCCATCACCCCATCCTTTGAGCCACTGGTTCTGGAGATTGATTTATTATGATTATATTTCAAAGTATGGGGTTCTGTTGAATCAGCCATCTGGCTAAATATTTGAAACTTTTTTTTTCCCCTTTTCAGTGACTCTCTGCTCTCCCTAGGAGGGGTGTGCTTCTCCCCATGACTCCTGACACTGATGTTGGTTTCTGGAATTTTTGTGGGTAGGAAGGGGAGGAATGATGTATCCACAATGAAACCAAACAGAAAAAGCTCAGGGAACCCATTGGTATTCCGACTGTAAAGGCAAAGGGGAATTAGTCATTCACTCCCCCATTTTTTTTTTTTTTAATTTTTCTGGGGCCTTCTATCTCTATGCAAGAAGATGTTTGTTCTGGGTGTTGCTCTGTAGACTGCTTTGAGCCTGGGGACTATGGGAAGCATCTTTACTTAATAGAGATTCTAGACTTATACCTGGATGTTAAAACTTCTGTCTTGTTCTTTCTCTTTTAAAGGCACAAGTGATCCATATGTGAAATTTAAGCTGAATGGGAAGACGCTGTACAAAAGCAAGGTCATATATAAGAACTTAAACCCAGTTTGGGATGAGATAGTTGTGTTGCCAATACAAAGCCTTGATCAAAAGCTGCGGGTGAAGGTAACCATAGATGCTTTTCAAATCTCCTCCTCTAGTAGAAATATTTCTCAGTAGTTTTTCCATGACTTCTTAAAAGTTAACTTGCCCTTATTAATCTTCAAGGCTGGGTATTAATGATAGAGAATGAATTCTTTATACCTTTAGCAGAGACTTTATGTTTCTCTCAAATCAATGAGAGAGGCTCTATAGCAAATCAGAGTGAAAATAATATCTCCATTGATTGTATTCAAATTTACTGAATGTGGAAGAATTATTACTGGTAGTGCAATGGTGACAGGTACTAAAGCCTTTCTCATTAGGACTAACTTTATACTTAATAGAGTTTCAAGCTACTGGGTGCAAGCATCAATTGCTCTAACATCTGGGTTAACACTGCATGAGTTGAGTGCAGAATGGGATAGCTATAGAATATTTAGCAAATTTCTTATTTAATTGGCAGATCTACTCACCATGGAAAATACTAAATTTTAATGAGAGGCCATTTAAACTAAAGAGAGCGGTACATTGTGCGTAGCATTTTAATTCATATGAATATGCCTTGAAAGTCTTTTCTACTGTTGTCTGGTCCGTGTGTAGGCAAAATGGGCAACACTGGATAATTTTGTTCTCTGAATAGGCTTGACTAAATTTTTCTTTACCTGTACTGGGTGGATTATTTTAAGATCTGAAAGGTGGATTTCAAAATTTCTAGCCTTTTGCATTTGTTAATCATTTAATAAACTTGATTGGTTTATTACCATTTTCATGTGCATTAACTGGCTTCTGCCTTTTGTAGGTGTATGATCGAGATTTAACCACATCTGATTTCATGGGTTCTGCATTTATCATTCTCAGTGATCTTGAACTTAACAGGTATTGTAGTTTTATATCTTAATTGTCATGAATGCAATTTTAGAAGGAACTCAAGATGATGTTAAATGGCACTTATTTAGATCAAATAACAAAATGATATGAATGACAGAAAGAGTGCTTTAAAGTGTTACAACTCTCAACATATTTTCTGAGACTTGCTTTCTAAATGTCAAATGTTAATCAGGCACTAAGTCATTTATTATGTATTCTAAAATGTATATGGGGTTTTGCTCATTCATTCGTTAATATTCAGGGTCATTAACCTAATTTAAAACAAACATGTATATTTTATTTGGGTGTTAGGAGAGGGAGATAAGTTAACCAACTGTTGAGTTAGACAATTCCAAATAATTTTTCTGGTTGGTTTACGTTCACTAAATTTAGGGCCTTTTTAGCATTGTGTCTAATAGTTTTCCAGGAGAAGGAAACTTTTACTTTAAACTCCTGATGAACTACAACAGTAAGTGCTACTGTTAATAAGTGCTACATTTATTTTTCTTTTTTGGCTTATAGAACAACTGAGCATATTTTAAAATTGGAAGATCCAAACAGTTTAGAAGATGACATGGGAGTGATTGTGTTGAATTTGAACCTAGTAGTAAAACAGGGTGATTTCAAGAGACACGTAAGTGTGACCCTTTTGTGCTTTTTAAACTTGTCATTGTGATTGTCCTTTGGTTGCTGGGCTGCAGATAACTGACATTTTTACCATGATTTTGGAGTGGAAATTCTTTCATAGAGTTAAAGTGCCTATCTGTGGTTATATACATCTTCTCTTTTGAAATCCTGAAAAGAAAATCTACTTAGAAATTAATTTCTATTTTAGTTATGGATATGGTTAGCATTAGTGTTATTAAAACTTACATGATACATATGGTATGTTCATAACTATCATACAAAATATGCTTTCAATTATTTAGTAGTAATGTTTTAGGTCCCAGATAACTGAGATATTTTTCTGTCATGAAAAGCAGTTCTCAGGATTTAATTATTGATTGCATGTTATTAAGGTGATTGAGTATACATTTGCATCTTTCCTCTTTTTTTTTTTTTTTTTAAACTGTAGCTACTAAGTGTTCTATTGGTACTGCTTTGAGAAAGATACAAATTTAAAACTCTCTGGTCTATTATATTGAAATTTCTAATTAATGTTCTACCCACTGAAGATGCCTATAACATCAACAAAACATTAGACTTCACAAGATAGAATCAATTGAGACTCTTCTTATGAGCACATTTGTTTATAAGAATCATAATGTCATTTTATTTTTAGGGATTATGCATGATAATTCCAGGAATTAAAATAAGACAAAATGAGTTTTGACTAATTTATTTGAAAGATATTATTAAAGCCAGCTAAATACTATTTGAAAAAGAATAAGATGCATAACAATTTCACATGTGCAGAATCCACTGTAAAAATCTGAAGCTTATTAATAATAATGCCTTTAAAAATGTTTCTTGAATTGAGGCAGTGGGTTGCTTAAGGAGAGAACTTTTTGTTTTGGCATAACTAGTAACTTTTAAGTAACTTATTTAATTAAAAATATCATGAATGATTTTCTAGGAAACTCATAAAGACAGCTTTAGAACACTAAACTTTTAATTGCCAGAGGGTCAACTGAACTCCTGATCTTTAAATTTAAATTCCTTATTTGAGAGAATTTACTTGACAGCAACAGAAGAAAACTCTATTAATTGCTTTTTAAAAATGTGGCACTATTCACATTTAGGATATCAATAAAGTTGATATTTTGATGTTAAAATGTGTTATTAATGCTAAAAATAAACTTTTTCCTTACTCACGTAGTGATGGAGTGTTGTTCTCTAACTTCCTCTCAGTCTTCTTCTGTGTCAATGGTACTGCAGGTGATAGGTTGCTTGAGTTGGATACTAGGTTAGAATAAAATACCATGCAAATAAGTATAATTTGCCACATGGTTGTATATTTGTTAACATATATCTGTTAAAAAAATTTTAACATACTTCAGTGGTATTTTGAAAATTAGATGATTTCCCAATAAAAATAGTTATGTATTGAAATGACTATTTTTGTGAATTTTTCTGTAGTATATTTGATTACATTTAACAGTCATATTGGCTCTTAAAATACACTTATAAATATTGCTAAAATTTAGAATTTTAGTGACATGACGGTTTCAGTTTATTTCAAATTGCAGGCCAATTAATATTAGATGCAGTATAGATTTGTTTTGCTGAAACATCTCAAAGAATATCACTATAGTTGGCTCTCCTTTTACTTGATCTTCCCCATACCTTGTGTTGAAGAATTTTTCAGACATTCTGCTCACTTGTTTCCATTCTTGTTCTTTTTGCCCAGCAGGGGATGATGTACAATATATTTATTTTGTATATTCTTATAGATATATTATAACAGAGAAAACCTCACCTGTTTGCATTTATTTTGACTGTTTTTTTTTGTATACTTGATCAAAATATTATCAAGGAACAGTTAATTGAGGCATAATTTATTGGAGGCCATATGTGGTTATTCAACTTACAGTGCATGTCATGGGCCCTTTGGGTATAATAGACAAAAGAAAATGTTTGTTGTTTTTATTGAGTTTGAGTTCATATTTAAAGGAAATTTTATATAACGTTTTTAAGTGGGCATGACTACCACTTGGGACTGAAGGACACTAGATTATTTGATCAAAGTAATTTATAAATTTCCTTTTTTTTTTCTTTCTTGTGGTGCTGGTGATGGAATCCAGAGCCTCATGCATGCTTGGAAAGCTCTTTACCACAGAGCTACAACCTGCAGTCCTTAAATATTATTTTAAATTAAACTTTGTTGGAGAAATTTCAGTTTAAATTCCTAGTCTCGTACCTGTTTTTTCTTTTCAACACCATGAGTTGGTTTTGGTTGCTTTAAAACCACACTGTCAAAAACCTTCATCTATGCAATATTTTTAAATTTACCTTTGTGTCCAGGGATTTATATTTATGTGAGCATGGTACAGTCAGAAGGTAAGATTCTGGCTGGAAGAGACTGGAAGACAGAAAAACATGTTTTTTCCTTTCCTTTGAAAAAATAGGATTGTCATTAAAATAATGGACTCTGTCATCTGACTGCCCACGTTTAAATGCCAGTATCACCAATGCTCTGGTAAAATTCTCAGAATTATTTAACCTTTCTAAGCTACAGTTTCCTTATGTATGAAATAAGGATAAGAAGAGTATCTTTCATATGGTCATGAAGATTGAGGTTACCAAATAGGGTGCTTGGCATGCTGTAGAGACATTCAATATGTAGTATTTCATAACACAGCAGTAAGTCAGCAAATAGTACCAGTCACTTCCCTTTTTATCCTGATCTGTTTTGTCTTTTATAATCATTATAAAAATCAAATGAAATATTATCCATCAAAGGGCCCCTAAAGAGCCCTGTGTACCTATAAGGTGGTAATTAATTTTGGTGCTTGAACTGGGTGAAAATATTCATTGTCATGTTGAGAAAATACCAGGAAACCTGATTTTAATACCCTGATTGTGTTATCATAACCCATGTCATGTGCTAAATGTTGAATCCTGTTTCACCAAGGAAAGCCTTATTCACAAAGAATATTTTCAAGTCAGTTCTGTACCATTGTGTTCTAGTTGCTGGTCAATGGAGGGTAAATGGGTTTCCCTTAAAGAATATTTTTTTTGAATTCTCATTTATTGGGAAGACATTATTGTCCAAGTGCATAGGTCATTTACCTAAAAGTATTTTTTTTTTCTTAAGCATATCAGTAAATGGGGTCTGCTCGATTAGATACATAATTGAGTTGTAATCTCCCAAATTCATCCAAGTTTTAACATCCAGTTAGCTGGTTAACCAGCCAGAATAGAGCTTTGAAGTACTGGATGGTCACAGGAGTGATGAGAGGATTTTTCTGAGAGACAATTTTAATTGTAGATGAAATTTAGCAGCTTTCGAATGACAAGTGAGAGATCAGAAGATAACAGGGGTGAAGTTTTTTGCTATTCAGAAAATTTTTCTACCCTCCTACACAGTTATATTAACTCATTTTTATTAATTGGACAATAATGATTTAGGATTTTTTCTGTCATATTGAATGTTGTTCATATTGAATGAGCTATGAAAGTGAACAAAATTGTGTTTTCTGTTATCAAACCTTGGACCCCTAATCATGAACTAACATTGGTGGTAAATTTTGTAAATTTCAAACAGGAGAAATATTTTTTGCTTTTTTTATAAGAGATAAAGTTATACTGTCTTAAGATAACTTTTTAAAAATTTTTTTTTAATTTTTATTATTGGTTGTTCAAAACATTACATAGTTCTTGACATATCATATTTCATACATTTGATTCAAGTGGGTTATGAACTCCAATTTTTACCCTGTGTCTTAAGATAACTTAAAGAACAAATGTGGATAGGGTTTTGGGGTAGAGCACTTGTATAGAACAGGTGAAGCCCTGGGTTCGATCCTCAGCACCACATAAAAAAGACAAATAAATAACAACAAATAAATAAAGGTCAAGTTCTTAAAAAAAAATAAGGAACAAATGTACATCTAGAGATTGAAAAGTATTCATCTGTCATTGCCTTTGCATACAAAATGCTTTGAGAAAATTATGTAACACAACAACATAAACGTGATTTTTCTTTGTTACTGTTTGCTCAAATGCACTTTCATGGTACCTTCGAAATTTGGTTATCACTCATCTGCACGTAATCTGCACCATATAATATAATATGGTTACATTGTTATCCATTCTGTTTCTCTTTCATTTTGCCATGTTCAATGTTCAATGGACATGATCCATAGCGATGGTCAAATCGGAAGCGCCTGAGTGCCAGCAAGGTAAGTACACTTGTTTTTTGTTTAGATTATTTGACTAAAACTTTATGCTTGTAACAGATACAGATGTATATTTAATTGATATTATCCATCCTTTACTTGTAACCACATTCTCTGCCTTTTACTGCCATAATGAATAAGAAAGGAACAACGTTCCTTTCACATTTTATTAAATAAAGGCATATCCAGATGTTTGAACTTACACTTTCTGGAGTGATGACATTTTATATGTATTGGCCATGTTAGAAGTTTACACTTCATTAAGCTTGGATTATTTATAATGTAGCATGGTTCATTTTAGTCCTTTAGGAAGTTATTTACCATTAGCTTGACACCAGCTTTGATGTTATAGGGGCAATGTAAAAATTGATTGAAAGGACTGAATACATGTTATATTTTATAAGTCTCCATATTTTTTGGAAAAAGTCACTTTTTGGTAAGAATTTCTTTTAAAGATTTTTTTTCATATAATACTTTTATTTGTTTTTTTACATTACTAGTATCTTTATAGGCAAAATTTATAAATATTTAATTTATAAAAAGCATAAGTGTATCAAGGTAGAAATGCATTATTTAATAATTAATTGTTATCAAATTAGCAAAATTTAACTTAGGTGACTAAGTGTAAAAGTTATTTTAGAAATAAGCAAAACCCAAAAAGTATTTATAGCTTAATTTAGCACCTGTATTACTTTTTAAAAGATTAATAATCAATAAAAATAATTCCTATTAAATGATGCAATATTTGAAGATGTTTGTTTGGTTCAGTTTCTAAATGGTGGTGGGGTGGATTGCAGGTGGCAGGAAGAAGCTGCACAAGCTCTCTGTATGCATGTATATACCCACATATCTGAATACACATGTGACATCTCTAAATTATAACCTAATGTACCTCAGTTGCCTACTTCTCTGTAAAGTAAGGAATTTGAAACTGGTGGCACCTCCAGGTCAGAGATTCTGTGGTGTGTGTGTGTGTGAGAGAGGGAGAGCAATTATAATCCATCGTGTTTTTTAAAAATCCAAAGGAACCAAAGTTCTGACACACATTTACTAAAATGCTTTGCGTTTTGAACATTTTAGAATAAGTATGATAAAGTGATTTGTTATCCTACCAGTTCGCCTGGTTCCTTACACTCTTGTTCTTTTTAAAAATAAACTAAAGAGATTATAAATAATAGTGCAACATGGTCTTTAAAATTCCTCCAACTTTTGCTTTATTCCTTTATAGTCACTAGAGGGTAGAAGAACATCATTTCTCACCACAGAAGGGAGCCCAGCTCTCGCTCTCCGTATTAAGAGTTTCTGTAACCACCCAAAGCAGTAAAGTTTCCCAGAATGCTTTGTTGAAACCTGACAAAGCAGTATTTTCTCGTTTATTGATTCTGCTGCCGCACTAAAACACTGGTACTGTACATCAATAACCATCTTTAGTTAGGGAGCTTCGGTCTGTGGAAGAGCACTGGCAGTTTGTTGAAGAACATAAAGGCTAGAAAGAAAAATTGTGAGCTTGGGGAATATTGGAGTCTAGGGAGGATAGGAGAGGTTATGGAAGAATGGCCAAAGGAATGAAGAGGGATAGAAAACATGTTGACGGCTTGGATAAAGATATCAAAAATATGAAGGGAACAGAGGATCCAGAGAGCAGTATTTATATATATACTGCAGAGTTGTGTCTCAAAACTGAGTTGTTGTCTTTTTTTTCCTCCCAGTCGTGGTAGTTTCCAGAATTTTGACTTCAGTATACTGGGCTCAGGAATGTAATAAATGCCCAAACCTCGTATTTATACTTAGTTAAGATCATAGATGGATAAAGTTCATTGAAAGCTCCTTGTGATCTTATTTGTGACATGTACGTTATGGATTGGTGAAGGCTTTTTATAGTTATGTTGATTGTTTTGCTTTTGAGAGTATGCAGTTTTAAAGAAAAAAGTGAGATATCTTTTTGGCTTATCAAAACAAGTCAATGAAAACTGTAGGCACTCTGATTAATATTGTAAAAGTGGTTAAAATATCCTGGTTGGCTTTTTTAGTGTTTTTTTAACTAGAAGTTTCTTTCTTAGGATTTTCATATTAAGTAATATTTGGCATGAAGGTTACTTCATTAGGAATATCAAATTTTACTAGTTCTGATATAGTGGATTAGTGTAAAATATCATTGCCTTTTTTTTTAACCTCAGTGTAACTCTTATAGCAATTTTGTTTAGATTATTGCTTCTTTTCCCATAACTTTATAATTTTGTATCATCCCAAATATTGCTGAATGGGAGAATCTTGATGGACCCCCTTCTTTACTGTTTCCTTACTTTCCTGCCCCACTTTTGATGTAGGAAATATATAGAGATTGCCTTCAAAAATAGATACAGGTTTCACCTAAAAGTCTTTATAATTAGCATTTGATTGGGAATGGGGAATTTGATTTAGAGAATTAAGTGGGATGCTGGAATAGTAGGAGTCAAATTGTAGGTGTAGGAAAGGGTAGCCCTTGTGGGTCATCAGCTGTGGCTGCAAGCCCTTAGATCTTGTGGGTGGGGCTAGGATAGGGTGCAATGAGGAGGTACCCATTGTGCAAAACATAAGAAGATACTCCGGCATAGATATCAGCTCTGCACTTTCAGTAGCTTGAGTGTGAGTAACCAATCCTGGACTCTGAAATACTTTAAGTAAAGGTGCTTATGTAGTACTTTAAGTAAAAAAGAAGAATAGACAAATGGAACAGAGATGTAAACACAATTAGGACAACACAAAAATCAAATACTAGATGATTAACATCATTGCCTATGGGCACAACATTCAGTTTCCTAGATGTCAGAACAAAAAGATAACCTTTTTGGGTCACATGACCTTCATTTTTTTCTTCTAGTTTTAATGGTAGGAAATGGCATTAAAAATATTTCCCCAGTCCTAAATTCTGAGTGTCATTGGATATTTATAATCCTTATCTATTTATTTAATCTTTTCTTAATTAATTCTTTTTTTTTATTTTTAAGTGGAAAACTTGAGTGATGACAGTCCCTTATAATTTCAAAATATTAAATTTAAAACAGAACTTTTATAGCTAATGTCTTTGTACACACAGATTATTTATGTCCTTGGAACTGTGATAGAGTTTTCACCTACAAATATAAATCTCATCTTCCGTGTTCATGCACATGTGGGAAATTTAAAAGGCTTTCTTTTTATCCTTATGCAAAGATTTTTGTGTAGCTCTAGAATTTATGGCTACAGGATCCTCTTCAGATGATGTAAAAGAGCTGCCAAAGAAGGTCTTGTCTGAGAGCCTGTTCCCTGGATGTATGGATCTTCTCATGTCTTGCTATAAAAGCTGTTGACAAGGAACAGTAGTTTTACATGTTGAAAATACTTGAAAGGAATATTTCAGTGAAAGCTTTTATAGACCCATGTTTCCCCTTCGCTTTTCAAAGCAATGGCCAGCAGAGCTGGAATCCGGCTTTACCATTCATTTTTCTCACAAGCTTAGTTCATTTTTTTGTGCATGTGTTTTCATTGAAAACGAAATAATAAGAGTCAATAGAGTATGTGTTAGCAATATGGGACACTGATATTGTTAATCTTTGATCACTGAGAGGATACTGGCCCAATATTTGGCACCTTGTAGATACACCCTAGTCACTGTCTTTTCTCAATGCATCCCATTTTTGAATTTTGTTATATGTAAGGAAGTATTCTGGATAATCACTCCACGGTGTTGGTCACCATCATCAGCTAAAGAGTTTGGCACAGTTGAATGTAACCTTGATATCAATGGCTGCAGAGTCCAACACCAGTTTCTAGTCCTTTCTTTCTAGATCTTTCTTTACTCCTAACCTCTCTGCCACTTGATACAGATAGGAGGAACTGAGTTGTCCTTACATCATCCCTGTTTTTTTTTTTTTTTTTGTAGCCACACCAAGGAATTAGGCTACTGGACTCCATATCACCATCTCCCCATTATGCCTATTAGCATATAGCCCCAAATAATATATGTTGCTAAGCTGTAGCCCGTTTTGTATGTCTTTAGAATACAGCATTTTCACTGTTTTTGATGAAGTATTCCTAGGTCACAAACTTTTGAGGACTTAGAAGTGAATTCTTTTACTACTTGAGGTGAATGAAAGCTGCATAGTATATTCTTCTAGCCCAATCTCCTTCTTCCTATTCTGCCTTGACCATGGTTTGTCATAACCCAGAGGCAAATGACTATTTTCAAGGTTGTTTCATGTTCATGAGAGTCAGTATGCTTATAAGCTGAACACCATGCCTTATTTCTATTATTCATAGCTGACCCGTGTGCTTTACGTGGAAATCACTTTTTCTCTCTTAGAAGAGTGGGTGTCGATATGATGGCATGGGGGCCGAGGAAGAGTGCACATGAATGGAAGGAACATAGAAATAGCAAAAGGTTCCGATCTCTTGGGAGGAAGGAGAAAAATAACAAAACCCTGATGGACTATATTTCATCTGTTACGTCTGCTGAGGAATTAAGGTCAGGACCCAGAAACTTTGCTCTATCTCCTGGTGCTTGTTTCAGTTCAGTTCAGGTAGAGTGGGCTTCCCCTGTGATGGGTCATCTCCTCTCTTTTCACATCCCCAGCTGCATTAAGATGACAAATTTCACTTATAGGTGGGGGCACAGATATGGAAACCTGAGCAATTCAGCTAACTGAGTGAGTGCAGATGAATCGATTTATTGTGGGGAGAAAGAGCGGAACACAGAAGATTTTGCCAGCTGGCTCTGTTACAGCACATCGAGAATGGCCCACCCCGCCCCCAACCACAGACTCTGCTGTTATACCTTCTGCCTCAGCACACCTCTCAAGGGTGCAAGAGAAATGTTAAAGTAATTAAAAAAAATAAAACTTCTTTAAATTACACACAGAATATGTGGCTTACAAACAAAACATTTGGACATAGCCTTATAGTGGCATTTGCAGAAATATTTAGGGTGAAATAAGTAGAATAAAGGTCTTGTGTCCTTTTCTATCTGTGAATTCTACAAAAATTTCTCTTCTATACAGCCTTTCAGATGGAGGAAAAAAAAAAAAAAACTTGGACAGCAGAGAACAAGTCCATCAGATCAAACACGACTGCGTTAAATACTAAAATGTTCAAAGTCCAACTGAGATAGATAAAGGCTTTGATGGAAAGTGGATATTTCCCAGGGACATTACAAGCAATAATCCAGATGTTATGGTGTAATGCAACGAGTGTCCATGGATAGATCAGGAGCTCCAGCCAAGCCGCGCCTGTATAGGCCTCAGCCTTGCCCTCCCATGCTGTTCCGCCATATGGAACCTATCTCTAGGCCCCCTTAATAACCAGCTTTGGATTCCATTTTCACAGAGCTCATAGAGCTAAGTGGAGCTGTTTTATGGACAAGTTAGATAGAAGCCTTTCCAAGATAAACATCCAATTTGAAATTAGGACATACCAAGCTACAGAATTATTTTAGGGCATATTTCATGGAAGTGCTGCCATTTTTCTTAGGCAATTGCCAGACTGTAGGATGCCCTTTGATCCTGAGTGGACATGACTCCCTATTTTATAAAAAGGATTTTGAAATAGTTGCAGTGCTTAGGGAGGAATATATCTGTCGGAACTTTGAAGCATGGCCGTGGGACGGGTCATGCCTTAGCTTGTTGGTTGGCAAGTCAAACTTTTAGAAAGGGGAGTTAAAAAAAAAAAAAAAAGGAAAAGAAGGAATTGCAGCAGGAAATATGAATCAAAATCTTTTTGTTTTAAAGGTAAAAGCTTTTGATCCATATACTATACAAGCTATAAAATCTAGTAAGTATATTTTGTAGGTGTATACACATCTGTGAATGTAAGCACATCTATGCCTGTCTCCATATTATGGTGTGTTGTTATTAACAAATATAATGTTATTTAATTTTAACTCTTTCACAAAACTTTAGTATATTTCTATCTGTTCATGATTGCTAATGGGAGTTAAGAAAGATGTAAGAGGAGGACTTTCATTTTTTTAATTCTTTACCCATTTGCCCACCCTGTTTTGAATCGGCACCTCTAGTGTGTGTGTGTGTGTGTGTGTGTGTGTGTGTTTCTAGAGAAAAGCAGTGTGTATCCGCTGCTGCTTTGGAAGTAGATCTTCCCTGAATGATCAACAAAAGCCCTGGTATGGTGGTGTTGCATAGTTTATTGAGATGGGGGGATGACGTGGGCTGGCTGAGGTAAGCTGGTATATAATTAACATTGTCCTGACATACCATTTGTTGTGATAAATTGTTACTAACTGGTGTCCAAGAAAATTGGTGTCTAAATGATCTTGAAAATATAGTGAGCGGACGACAGGAGTGAATATATAGTGTTAGAAATTCATTGCTTGACTATGATGCTGAGCACCATTTACATTCCTTAGCCCATTTATTTCTCCTTCAAATAAAAAGTCTATGCTTGTGCCATTTCTCTCATCAAGCTGAGAACAAAAATGAACGCTGCCAACTCGGTGCAGCACGTGGATCATGTGGGAATCCTAACTCAGACAGATCATAGAAAGACATTGTCTAGACCTTCAGAGAAACACGAATATGGGCAGGTATTTAATGATATTGAGGAAACTTTTTATGATTAATTTTGTTGAGGGTGATCATGGTATGATGATTATGTAAAAAACAAATGCTGAATTTAGCTTTAATATATTTTAGCCAGAAAAAATAATGAAGGGAGAAATGAACTAATGTAGGCAAAATGTTGAATCCTGTGAGTAAATACATGGATATTTATTATACTGCTTATTGTGTTTACCTTTGGGTATGCTTAAAATTTTTACATAATAGAAATAAATTAAAAATACTTAGAATGCAATAATCTTTATTGTTTAATAATAAGTAATGTTTGCCTTTTTCTATATTCTGTTCAAAGTATTTATGGGTAAGCATAAATAATATAATTTAGTAAAAGAAAAAAAATAGGTTAATAGTTAAGTACCCCCTTCTAGGTCCAGCTGCTATATGATACTTAGTGTATCCTCCTTTCCACCCCACCCTACCCACTCGATCTGCAAAGCTCATTTGGTCAGCTAGGCCACTACAAGCTGAGTTTGGAACTGTTACTCTCACAGGGGCATAGAGATTTCCAAAATTGGTCCAAAGAATAAGGGAACATGGAGACATATTCAAATGTGAAGGATAAATCCATAGTCATTTTGAATGTCCAGGGATACCATGTCTCCCAGGCATGCAAAGCCTCTTTCTGATATCTCTGTTCCCCCAAATGCCTTTCTTCCCTTCTTACTATTAAAACAGTCCAAGGCCCAGTTCAAGGGTTCTTAGCAAAGAACAAACTGGGTGGGAGTGTATACCAGTGCCAAATCAGAGTGTTGCTTATGCTCATCCTTTGCTATACTGTTATAAGTCCAAAGCTGCAGAAGCAAGTCACATAACTATGACTGCAGGGCTGAGAAACCAAGGAAGAATAGCACTTCTCCTCAGGCAAGGAGTGATTACATAATCCAACACTGAAAGCTGGAATTCCTAAGATGGCCAGAATTACTCCCAATGATTATCAGTACATTTATATGTCATCTTTATTTTTTGCTCTAGTCCTCTTTGATACGCAGTCTGCGGCTCTCAGAGTCCTTGAGAAAGAACCAACTCTGGAATGGAATTATAAGTATAACTTTGTTGGAAGGGAAGAACGTCTCAGGAGGAAACATGACCGAAATGTTTGTCCAGTTAAAACTGGGAGATCAGAGGTATAAAAGCAAGGTAAGTTTTATCAATGCCACAACAAAGCTGATGTCTTTCAGAATTTAAAAAAAAATTTAGCTAAAAACTACTTTTCTACTATAAATTTCACAAAAATAGAAGTAACTTATTTTTAGCTGTCTTAACTATAATAGAGAACATTACTGAAAACAAAATAATGGTGTAGATGCAGTCAATTAATATGAGTATTGCTTTGATTGCTTAGTGTAATTTGTTTTAATATAATAACTCAGAGCTAGAGAAAGCTTTGAGTCATAGTTTTGAATGCACGGTTTATTTTCATTTTGAAAATAAAAAAGGTTTCATAGAATTCAGGGAAAAAATACCTGATGTCTCCAAAATCCTATATAAATAAAATCACGTATTGCTTGATATCTGGATTAAAATATAAGAGATAACTGAAAAAAATTTTTCAAAATTATATACCTCTTTGCTGTTTCTCACTTATTAGTGTGAATACCAAAAATAGTTATCTAAGTGCTGCTGGTTTTGATGTGATTTTTTTTAAAAAAAATAGACTACAACAGTATTAAAAGTGAAAGTAATGGCATTTTTAGTTGTCTTTAAATCTTCTTATTCTGTAAATCCAAATTCCATTTAATTTTTAATCTTAGTAATTTGGTGTGGATTTTATTTCAAACCATAGTCTCTAAACCATGGAAATTAATTAGTTTTACATAACTGTCAGAGAGGAATATTTCATATGTTTTATCAATCAAAAGAGCTAAGATACTTGAAAGTTATGTCACTTGTCAAAAGCTACATAGAATAAAATTCAGTGGAAATTTTTGAAAATAGACCCAAGATATTTGCAGTTTTGGGCTTTCCAGCATTGAGGGCACAGAAGAAACAGAAAACTTGGAAAATGATTTCAGAAGGCAAGAGGTTGTCTTATGTTGTACAATTTCCAGTGCAAAATCCAATATTAGCCATTTTTAAAATTTCAGCACAAAGGAGTAGAGGAATAGGAACATGTTGAAGAATAAGTTATGAGGATTGTGAAAAATCTAGGGTGAGTTATAGTAGAAACACACAGATAATTATTTTAAGCTGGTAGTTTTAGGCTGTACTTCATTACCAGTGGATCTGAAGTAACCACATCTCTCCACTAAGGTTCCTTTAGCCAGTCAGGGTCAGGCTCAGGATTTGTGGGGAATTATTCATCACTAGGAACACAGCTCTTGGGACTAAGGTGAAGTGCAGAATTTGTCCCGTATCTGCCACATTCCCCCTTGGGGAACACTACATATAATTCGTGGTTCTAATAGATCCCTTTTTCTTCCTGGTTTCCAAATTCTGTGATCTGATGTAGTGTGATGTGAAAGCCAATTTAAACGACTTCTTGTGACATTGACTACACCTGAGATCAGAGTTGCCCATGTTTTTCTCATGCATAGATAGTCATTGCTAGGATTTAGTAGTTGATGCTGTGTCCCTAGAGCTGATATACAGTGTCCAACATTTTTATTCACACCTTATTCATAAATTGGATCTCCATAGAAGAAAGAAAAATGAAAATCCTGCCAATGAACCAAACACATATATGGTTTGAAATTATTCTTAGAGAATACAGACATAGTTGTGGGACTTTCAGTCTATTCTTATTAATTTTCAAGTATGCCTGCAGTGGAATTTCCACGTCTTATCCCCACTTTACTGTCTGGATCCAGTAACTGGATTTGAGAAACAGACATCAATGTACAAGTTATGGGTTTCTCATTTAATGCATCTGATCAATGTTAATTAAGACCCCAAAACAGTTAATTTATGTAGTTCCTAAGCCAGCACTGAATGTATAAGCCAACTAATATGTTACTTGCATTTGATTTTCCAATTAGTATTATCTTCTCAAGAGAGAAAAATTGCCCACTGTCTATTGATGTACATTCACTATATACACATACCAATGAATATGTTATTTTTGGTTTCTTACGTCGTTCTTCTGAACTTGGATAAATTATTGAATTATTGAATCTAAGACCAGTTCAAGTAGCCATGTTTTGCCAATTTCAGAACCCTCGAAATCACTTTTATTTAATAAAAGGAAGTTTAACTTAATAAGGGGCAAGGCCATAGTCACAACCTCCTGCCATTTAGAAATGAAATTTTATGTGTAGCTGCTATAGCAATATATGACGTTTTAAGAAAATAAATATTATAACTGCATGTTTTCTAGACACTGTGTAAGAGTGCAAATCCGCAGTGGCAGGAACAGTTTGACTTTCACTACTTCTCTGACAGGATGGGCATTTTGGACATTGAAGTGTGGGGAAGAGACAGCAAAAAGCACGAAGAACGACTGGGCACGTGAGTCTGCTCTGTTTCTAACCTGTGGGAGCTTGTGTGTGCATGGGTATGGTGCAGAGAGATTGGGCTGAGGGAAATGGCTTCTGTGCCACCCCAAGAATTTCCTGTTTTTAATTGATAAATTCAATATTTAAAAACCATAGATAAAAGAAAACAGAATGCAATGGTCCCTCAATATTCACGATGCATTGGTTCCAAGACCCTCTGTAGATACCTAAATCCTCAAGTCTTAGGTAGGTCCCTTGTATAAAATGGGTGCAGTATTTATGTACAACCCATGTACTTCCTCCTCTACATTTTAAATTATATCTATATTAACGTAACTACTGATACAATACAAATGGCAAGTAAAATGTTGTTATACTATATTATTCATTGAATAAAAATGCCCTCAAAATGTGAATGTGGAACCAAAGGGTCAACTATAGTTTGTGTCAGGAATTCTCTGAAAGATGAGGTTCCAACTCACCCTTTGGGGACTATGTTTGTAATAATTTCCAGCATAGAGGCTGGGGTTATAGCTCGGTGATAGAGCGCTTGCCTAACACATGTGAGGCACTGAGTTTGACCCTCAGAACTGCAGAAAAATAAATAAAAAAGTAAATAATAAATAATTGTTTTAAGAAACTTTCAAGTATATCCTGTTTGGGTTTTAGAGCGCTTGCCTAACACATGTGATGCACTGAGTTTAATCCTCAGCACTGCATAAAAATAAATAAATAAATAGAAAGATAAATAAATAAATGTATAATAAATAAAAGAATTGCTTTAAAAAACTTTCCAGTATATCCTATTTGGGTTTGCTATATATGACTTAGTCTCTTAAATTTCAATGTTCTTTGTAGCAGACTGTAATGAAATCCACCAAGGCCAATTCTCTTTTGTTTTTTGTTTCTTTACCTTGGACTCTCCCAACTTTATTGACACACTCCTCCACATACAACAAGTTTTACAGCTTCCTCTTAGGGTGTAATAAAGAGTGTACTGGAAGCACAAAAGAGATGCTGCTAGAAGTACAGGTCACCTTGGATCTGCAGAACTATCCCTGCAAGCTCCTTTTGTAGATGAAAAAGTGAAGTACAAAAATTCACAAATGAGGGGCTAGTGCTGTAGCTCAGTGGGAAAGTGCTTGCCTCGCATGTGTGAGGCACTGGGTTCAATCCTCAGCACCACATAAAAATAAATAAAGATACTGTGTGTTCATCTACAACTAAATAAATATTTTTTTTAAAAATCACACATGACTTGGACCTGGACTCGAGAACTATGAGTTCCAGAGTCAGGATTTTGTATTTTCAAAGGCCTAGTTCTTTCAATCAAGTCATCATCACCTTTTGTTTATCCCACAAAAATAATTTTTTTATTAGTTGTTCAAAACATTAAAAAGCTCTTGACATATCATATTTCATACATTAGATTCAAGTGGGTTATGAACTCCCATTTTTACCCCGTATACAGATTGCAGAATCACATCGGTTACACATCCACGTTTTTACATAATGCCATACTAGTGACTGTTGTATTCTGCTACCTTTCCTATCCTTTATATGCATATCTTAAGAACACAAACATTTAAAAGTATCTCAATTGCTATGGATCACCTGTTTCAAACCTTGAACTTGGGGTCAAGGATATGCCTTGGCAATGGGAGGTCCTCCTTCCACTTCTCTTCCCCTGTGGCCAGAGCATCTCAAATTGGCCTATGTTTACCTTGCCATTCCAGTTGAGGAAAGAGTTTTATTATCGAAAACTGAAGATTGAAAGTGACTCATCTAATATAATTCTTTAATTTTAAGGAAATACAGAGGCCTGGAGATGCAAAAAAATTTTTTTTTCAGGTAGCAAGGACTTTAGAGGCAGAAATGCCATGTCACCCAGCTAAAAATATGTCCAACATTACTTTGTAAAGGTCTTAGACTTGTACCCACTGCCCAGGGTTTTAGCTCTTCTTGCTGTCATTGCCTCACCCTCCCTCAGGAGTTTATTCTGAGATAGATGGGTGGGGAGTTGAATATCCACTGAAAATTCTTCCAGTGTTCTCAACAGAAGGTCCCTGCTGTAAGGAACTCTCTGACATGTTGCAGGATATTTTTAGCTAAACCTGGCTCTCATTCACCTGATGCCAATAACCTTCCCCAATTATTGGGTGGAATGCACATTCATCTGCACATACACAAGCATATAGAATACCTGCCATGCAATACACAAGTCTATATGCTTCAGGCGACCGGCACTGCCAGGACCTCTGTCAGTTGAAATTTCTGCTCTTCGCTGGCTATGTGCCATACCCTGGTTCCATTGTTTAATGCAATGTCCTCATGTGCAATCTGGCTTATCTGGTGGGCAATAGTCGCCGCTTTGTTTACAATGTCCCAAGCCAGGTTTGTGTATTTATATAGCAAACCAGGCCATGCCAAACTTGCCACCTCAAGCAGGAGACCTCCTGTGGGCCAGCGTCTCATGGATGCTGCCTATCAGGTTATTGGTCTGACCTTATCTCTCCCTCTTGTGCTCACACAGGTACCCGAACTGACTCAGACCCAGTAATGTCAGTACTTCTGGCATTGTCACTGCTGTGACATATTATGGTCCTAACAATGCAGATTGTAGGAGAATCAGAATCTTTAGTGCTAGCCATGGATCAAGAGTAAGTTACACAAAAGCTGAGAATCCTGTGTCCTGCAATGCAAGTGGGCATTTGGCCCTCTGGTGATGAATGGCCAGAGTGTTATTTTAGTAGGTACAAGGAATAATGCCCTTGCATTTCACACATCCTTCTGCCTTTAGTTTCCATCACTCGAGAGGAAATGCTTTTCCAAATGAGTGTTGGATTGCCTCACAGGGACAAAAATATAATCTTAAGATGTTCCTTTCACTTCAGGTTTTGTCATTTGGACATTCATTTATTATTTTAGCCATTTCCTGTTTGCAACTGGGAAATATACCAGTCTTCTGATCTTTGTGTCCTTCTGTCCTTCCTCTTCATGGATGCTTAAAGGTTGTTTTTTTTTTTCCCCTTTTTCCTTTTCTGTAGTACAAAAGATAACAAAAGTATCTCTTGGGAGCAGGCTCCACAGTATTGCTGTACCAGTGGGGAGAAACCTATACTAAAATAGAATATGGCCCCTCAAATTTAAAGGAGATACTGTGCTGAGCCTATCATTGATGTGTTGTGGCTCCTTCTCATTAGTTACTTTTTAAATATCTTGGTACCCCCCCCCCACATTTTCTTTTATGTTATATATTCCGAGGCTCAACTATTTTATGTTCCAACTGTTGTGAAAATACCTTGTGACATCAGAAGGCTTTCTGACAGTATGAATGATCCTTAAGTGTCCCCTAATGACCTTCTCACATTTTCTTTTTGGATAACATCTTCATGTTAATAACTGTTAAAGCTTCCCATCACAGGCAGTTTGCCATGAGGGAAAGAACATTTTATCAGGAGACAGCCATATGTCCTTGGGCAATGAATTTGCTTGTGCAGACTGGCTCTCTAGCTGTAAAATGGGGCCACTGTCCATCTTGTAGGATCATCATGTCCAACAGTAACAATGTCTATTTAACATCATCTATGGTGGGTATGATTATTAATTTTTAGATTTTTCTGTCTGGCAACTCGAGATCCCCACAACATTCGTGACTGAATTTATGCAATTAAGTGAATGAAATGTGACTATCAAAATTCAGCATTTATTCAAAATAGCACAGACAATTTTTTGTTATTGTTTGTTTTTGGGGGTGGGGTAGAAGTGAGCAGTGAACATCTTCAAGGACGTGGTGGAAGGGACGCATACTGAACGAAGAATGGATCTGTATAGATTAGCTTGAACAATGCTGGGGTTTTGTAGCTGTGGATAGAAAGGCTGGGATGATGGTTGGTTACGTGAAGAGAACTTCCATTATCACTGATAGGTTACTATTTTCGTGATGACTAAAATATGGCCCTGCCAGCAACCAGTGACCTCTAAGCTCTCCTGAGTTATGTGGGGCTTTCTGACTTCTCTTTGTGCCATCTTCCTCCCACCTGTGGGCGCTGTCTGAGCCACAGGGAAACTGCTATGGGCTTGGGGTAAGTGAGATGGAAGTGGTTAAGTAAACTGTGTTGCCTCTAGAGTTCACTGTTTGTTCATGGTCAAAGCCAAAAAAAAAGAGAGATAGTAGTAGCTCTTAGACAGCGATAGGGAACATTTAGGGAGAGTAAAAACATAAAGCTAGGTTTAACCTGCTCCAGCTATTTAACAAAATACAAAAATATGAACATAGATTAATATTGATTATTTCATTTTGTGTTGTTTTAAAGAAATCACAAACATTTGTCTCAATGATTCGTTTCCATTCCAAACTGATTGCAAACATTAACTTGTTGTAGAATATTCTAGATTTAATTCAGTTTGGGAAAGTTAAGAATGAGAATCCGTAAGCCTCTCTTGACTGGCCTGCCTCACAGTCCCTCCTCGTTCCCAAATGGTGTCTTATAAAGTGGCTCTGACATTCTACCAGTTTATTAGGGACTTTGAAGCAGTGAAAAATCTGAGCTGGAGTATTTCTCTGGACAAATTGCACCCCATGTCGTTGATTTGCTTTGACAGCAGGGCTTCGCACATTCACTGTTTTCTTCCTGTTCTCTTGCTTCCTTAGCCTCTGAGATTTACAGCTTTTAAAACTATAGCACTCTTTTTTTTTTGGCCCCTTGCATTTAAGTTAAAAGCTGACCAGTCTATAATATAAAACAGAATTATGGTAATGAATATGAGGTTAAAAGCTATCATGGCAAGTAAAATTTGAGCAGGTTTGGCTGACTGATATGGTAAAATTATGTGTTGAATTAAAACATCAAAATGCTGTAGGATTAATGGAGAAAGACAAGTATGGGAGGTCAAAAGCAAATGCTAAGTCAGCACATTAACTGCCTGTGGGTGAGAGAGGAAAGCTCTAATATATGCCTGTTCTAGGAAAAAAAAAAAATACAAGTAATTTAGTTCCTGTTTCCTTCAGGTGAGTAGAAGTGGAATTTTTAATCTGAAAGGCACCTAGGAAATACATTTATTTCAACTTTTTGTTTTTTCTAACATGGAAAGAAAAAAAGGACTGCAGAAGATTTAGTTAACAGAAAGTACTTATTTTCTGACTTGAATTTCTTGACTTCATGAGTTTCCTGACACCAGTGACATTCATTGGTTTGTGCCTTCATCTTATTCAAATATATAGACTGTGCTGTATGTTGTTAGGGCTGCAAAGTGCTGAAGATTCATTGATTCAAGGCTGCTGTCCTTGGGCACCGAATTTTTGATACTATAAGTCAGCCAGCAGTGATGGTACCATGGAGTGAGGGCTGAGCATCTCAGTACCATGGAAACCAACTTGGCATGGGTGGAGGATATAAGGGGGAGGCTTCCTAGAAGAACAGCATCTAAACAGAGACCTCTAAAATGGCTGGGAGGTCTCTGGAGATTGAAAGAATTTTCTAGGAAGAGCACACAGTATGGACAGATGTCTACAGAGAAGATAGGGAACAATCCCCCTGAGAAACTTAATGGGTGGAATGGGTTGGAAATGTCACCTAGTGGAGCTGGAGAGGAAGGCAGTTGACAAAGTTGTGGGATTCCATGTCCCATGAATGAATCTTGGGAGCTCCTCTCCAGGTACACACACACATCAGTGATTATGCTGTTTTCATTTTCATAATAAAAGTAATCACAGAGGAGCTCCTATCAATTGTATTTTCTAAGATATGACATTGGAATGAGAATTTTCTGGTCCCTTGAGCATCAGTGTATTATACCTTGGGAATTATTATCCAAGCATGGCACTCACCTTGAATGTGATGTCACACAGACAGCCATGGGACAGGCCTACTTGGTTAATGCTCATTGATCATGTTCCTTACAGAGATGCTCTGAATTTGTTTTCCACATTGTTTGTCAGATAGAACAGCAGTTTTAATGCTATGTCAGTTTTTATTGACAAATAGATCATTGCATAATTTGGCCATGGTCTCCTGGGCTGTGTTGAGTTAAAATTGTTTATAAAAAATTATCCTTAGACTAATATCTATTATCTTAGTTTATTTGTTTCTGTTTTCTGCAACATTGTGATTTTAAAAAAATATAATTCTTTTGCTGTCATTCACCACAGCCAAATTATTAACATTTCTGTAGGTCAAGGTTATGCATTCTGTGGTTCCTGGGCCAATACCGGATAGCTACCTGATTTTACAAAGAAAACTTTATTGGAAACAATTCTCTTCATTTGTTTACAATATTTCTTACTGCTTTCTTGCTTCAAGGGTAGAGTTGAATAATTTTATCAGAGACCACATGGACTTCCAAGTGAAGGTATTAAAATTTTGGTCCTTCACTGAAAAAGGTCTACATGTGAGAAAATCCTATGCCCCATCCATAACAAGTAGATGCATAGTGGACAGAAAGCCTTGGAAAACAACAAAAGATTTTTTAGGGCTTCAGTAACAATTAGAAGAAATTCAAAGACCAACCACATTATTTAGTAAATACTCTGAGACAATGTGATACAATTAATGGAAAATGGAAAAGAAGTCTCTGGATTCTCCTTTCAGGATTTTTTTTGTATTAAAAATATCCTCGAGTGTATTACAAAATGTTTACATCTTAAATGTTTTAGATTTTAGTCCATTTATCTTTGAACCTTAAAAAAAACACAGTTATTATATTCACTTGATTCTTCCCTCCCCTTAGGAAGTTTGGGTGGTTATTGTGCTAAAAGTCTTTAAAATTCTGAAGGAAAACTTCTTTAAAGGTTCTTTCTACTACCTGTTGCTAATATTGCCCATTCCTAGTTTGGTGTTCATGTGGATCATTCTCCCTGCCTCTGGCTCTGGTGGTTCTCCTCCTAACTGTAGAGCAATCTGGAACAGTGTGGACTGAGGTTGAAACAGAAAAATGGGAGGCCTGATGGAGAGGATTTTGTATGAGATGCATTCCTTTCTTCTATATTTCATTCATTCTTCTTGAATGAGAGAATAAATGGGAAGCAAGTTTAGACATTTTGTAGAAAGTCATCTTTATAGAGGAACTGGTTGTTAAAATCAGGAAAAAGGAACTTTAATTCATAAGACTTAAGGAATCAATACACATAGTTGGTGCAGGAACCTGAACAGATCAAAATCCATGTGCAAAACTTTCAAACCTTTTGATTGATGTGATACCTATATACCAATTTAACTTGCTCTCTCAAGTCACTGAAAAAAGAAAAATGGAGTATATACTCAGTAGTTAGTGGAGAATAAGAAACACATTAAACTGGTACCAGTATCATTAACCTGTTGCTTTATGGAGCTCTGGCATTTAATGTAAATACAGTTGTTTTGCATAAAACTGTTATTTCCTAGTTAATTACATAATCTTTAAAGAGTAGATAAATCCAAGCTTTCACAGTGGACAAAGATGACTAAAAAGGCTGTGTAAAGGTATAATTTCTGAGAAGAAATTCAAAATTTACTTTGCATTTTGTCTGGTGTGTGGTCAGCTTTTGCTTAAAATCAACTTCTCTAATAAGTTGTGCATTTTAGTAGACACTAGGAGAGTTTGTAAAGTTATTATAAATATGCTAACATTGGTCACATCATTATTAGTTTACTCTAGAAACATGTCAGAACCATTTTGAATCATCCAATAAAATATTTGCTGTTGTCTATTTATGCATTACTTTTGACCTCCAAATAGTACAAACCTTCAGAGTGCTTGCCTCTAAATAACTTCTGACTGTGCAAATGAACAAACTAGTACCACACAGTAAACATTCAAAGAGCAAATATTGCCATTACTAATGGCATTAAAAAGCATGTGCCATCACTGAGTTAGTGAGAATTTGGACTAATTAAAGTGACCATTAAAATTCTTACAAATTTGGATCTTTTATCATTCCATAAGAAAGGGTATTATTAATAAATGAAAGTATATAACAGTGTAAAATAATGTGTTCCTGTGCATATATATGGCAAAATTTGTTAAGAATGTATGTGTTCATAGTTGTCTTAAAATGATATAAAGCACTTAATATTTATTTCCAAACATGTTTAATTACCTACTTACATAAATGCATATGATATAGAAACATTAACTCTCTCTTCATGGGAGTAATTTTAGTTTTTTAATTTATTTTTTTTTAGTTGTAAATGGACACAATTTCTATTTATTTATTTATTTATTTATTTATTTATTTATTTATTTATTTATGTGGTCTCAAGGATTGAACCCAGGGCCTCAAGCGTGCAAGGCAAGTGCTGGGAGATGGGATCAATCAACAACACTAAGCTACAACTCCAGGCCCTAGTTTTAGTTTTTTTAAGATTCCCTTTTGCTATAGAAAATATTGTTTTGATACAAAGCATAGAAAATAGTATATGTAGATCTATATATAATCTTCCTTCAATAGACATACTTGACAAATTTACTCTATGCAAAAGAAAATGACTTTTCTTAAGTGGGATCACTTTAGGTAAATAGGAAATAATTATCCATGTTTATTTAATTTTATAGACAATTATCAATAAATATTTCATCCTATAATAATAATTGGTTCGGACTTTTAATGTAATTGGTTCTTTCCATTTAATTGGGAAAAGGATTGCAATGTTTCATAGTAAACAGGAAGGTTCTGTCTATTATACCTAGGTAACTCAAAGTCATCATTTTTTTATATAATATATACCTTGGTTACCTCTTTCTGGTTATCTGCTGTCAGGGCAAGCATGCATCGTTATTGATTATTGTGAGAAGCTATACTTCTTTCTATCCTTTCCTAAAGTCTGGAATATTCATCCTATTCTATAATTGTGAAGCACAAATACGAATATTGTTAAAAATTAATCTAAGAACTATTGTCTGCTCCTGCCCCAATCAGGGCTTCCTCACCCACCTGCACACCTGCATACATAAACATAGTAGGTGTGGTCCAGGCAAACCCAGAGCTTTCAATGTTAAAGCAAATAAATTACTTAGCACCTCAGCACCGGGCCCCCCACCCCCACCCTTTTGGTGTTTGCTTCTGTATTTAAATGTGTTTGAGGTTTTCAACAACTCCAGAACATTGGCTGTTAAGAGGCGGAAAACATGCAATTTATAGCAGATGGGTACAGCCCTTCCTGGCAGTGCTGGGAGATGGGATCAATCAACAACACTTCATGCTCCATTTGTCCAAAAGAAACCCACCTGGGGAAACCCTGTGGAACTGTGCCTATTAGGAAAACACCTTAACACTTTTCTTTAATAAAAATTTGCCAGTTGGCATCAATTGGGAAGAAAATGCTTTCTCTATTAACCCTCTCCCACTTGGATTTCTCTTTATTCCTTCTTTATTTGAACCATGTTCTTTTATTCTCCTTACTCCTAAAAGCCACAACAAAGGGAAGCCATATCTATATTTATGATCCTTAAACTTGGAAACTTTTTTCTACTTAATTCTTGATCTTATTATCTTTCTGCAGGCCTTATTTGACACAGACCTGACTTATGTCTTTGCATTTGCCACCCTTGCCCCCCATGCTGCCTGCTCTTGGATTTTGCTTTATCTCTTCCTCTCCTTACTTTTAGAGTGGGGTGGTTTGGGAGTGAGTGTTCGAAGCCCTTAGAACCTTCACTGCTCAATAAACCTGAGCTCAGACAAAGTAAGGTTTGGGGATGATGGAATGCAAGACAGGTGCTTTGGAGGTTCTACAGTGGCCTTGAGTTAATCACTTTTCTTTCTCTGACTTCTGAAAATTTCTAGGTGTAAAGTGGATATCGCAGCACTCCCGCTGAAGCAAGCCAACTGCTTGGAGCTGCCACTGGAGAGCTGCCTGGGGGCTCTCCTTATGTTGATCACACTTACACCCTGTGCGGGAGTTTCCATCTCAGATCTGTGTGTCTGCCCCTTTGAGGACCCCAGCGAAAGAAAGCAGATTTCCCAACGATATGTGAGTGTGCTGCCTTGTTACACCACTCCTACTTCCTCCCAGTTTTAAATTAAAACAAAGTCTATGAATCAAAAACTACATCAAAAGAGATCTTGGTCCCAAGTTTCATTGTGTGTCTCCTAAAAGAAGGCACTGGGCCTACGGATTAATATACTTATAGGAAGGTGAAAGAAGACTTGGAGTTTGCCTTGTTATTTTTAAATCCCAAAAAGATATTTTGAATTTTTAGCCTTTAGCAAGTCTCTTCAAGGAAGTGGCTTCAATTCAGCATGTTTGGGTATGTGCATAGAAATTTTAATGGAAGTTCAACAAAAGTGGCTTTTGTTTTTTAACCAACCATCAATGTTTGTAATGTCATGGATTTTAATGATATTGGTTGCAAGGTTATGGACTCCTAAGTTATTTTAGAATCAAGAGAGGGTATGTTCCTGTCTCAGAAAGCCTAAAACAGGTAGCAGAGGACCATCGAATCCTGAAACCCGGATAATGACATCAATGTGATTCTTCCCTAAGTAGTTGCCCTGTACTTAACAGTCCAGTCCACATTTTTAAAATCAAATACCTGTTTTGTCTTGTCTTTATTTATTTATTTATTTTATGCTGACTTTCTAAAAGCGCTTTTTTTTCCTTTGTATTCTGTTTTTATCCCATCTTCTTTGTAAATCAATACATCCACTTGATTTCCATATATGGAAGGCACATTTTTAAGAAAGTGGCATGAAAATGAAGCAAAGATGAATCCTTATTCAATGGCAATATCATCCTCAGCATAAACTTTGTTGCCTCCAGAATCCTTCACTGTATGCATGTATTGATTAATTGAATAAATCTTTATCTTGGAGAGTACAAAGCCTAACCACATATATTTCAGTGTCACGGATTCTGCATGCCAGCTTGATGTACTCTGAAGAAGTTTGGACAGAATACACTATTGGTAGTCTCTCTGATGACTTTACATAAGCAAATGAAAATTTGATGGTAAAAACTGAAAGTATCCCCAAGCTTTCCAATGAATAAATTGCACAATTTACAAAATTCATGGGGTATGCCATATATTTGTAAAGTAACATTATATAGCATAGTAATGATGTATTTGAATAATGCCTTAGAATTTCAGGATAATAATTGAGGTTTAAAGAAGCTATAATGAAAATAGAAATGTCAGGTGTTTCTTCAACTTACAAGCTGGCCAGAGCATTTGAAGGCAATAATGTACTCTTAAGAGGCGGGATTTTTTTTTTTTTTTAGGTTATAAGAGTAGATATTCCTTTAAGGTATTTCTCTCTCTGCAGTATAAAAGTGTATTGTTTCATGTTTTCCTCTTAGCTTAAGAACTAGTTAACTTTGTTTGGTTTAGGTTGAAAATTCAAAGAGAAACAACTTTTAAAAGTTCTTAAGAATTATGTGTATCAGGTCTGCCTATTGTTATTCTTACTGAACTTTTCCTATTCAACCCTGAGATGCCTAAATAAAATGGATTTTACTGTCTCAATATCAATCCCTGGGGATCTGCTTATGACAGGTTTTTGGATAGGTAATAACAATGTGTATCTGAAGGTTTTGAAACAGGATCTTTTTCACTGGATGCATTCTGTGTGCTTGAGAAGAGGGTTTATACAATTATATTTTTCATGCATGATTTCTCCAGGCTATCATATATTCAGACATCTCAATATTGCTTTATATGCTTAAGAATGACCAGACCAAATATTCAAACTTTGGATAAAGCAAACTAAAAATTAAAGAAAATGTGAATATAGGGTGATATTGGATACTAAATCTCTAAAGAACTTGGTTATGGCATGGATCAGAAAATTCACTCTGTTTTCATCCCCACTCTCTTTCCAGTGGTAATAAATTTTTACATGGGTCCAAATTTAGTACTCTTGCATCCGTAAGTTTATACTAACTAGGTCAGAATAATGTTGCATTTATTGTGATTTAAAATTTGCATTAAAGAGAAAAAAAAAAGAGAGAAGAAAGAGAATGAATGTCATTCTACCCATACATTTTCCCAGTGGGGTATCTTTGCTAACACCAGGGGGCGATGTTAAAAGTAGATTGTATGTGCTTTTAATTTGTTAATTTTGGAGTTGTAGTAGTTAATTAATTCTCAGTTACTTTTTTTTTTTTTTAATCTGGCTGCTGTAAATGCCTAACTGTCCTGTGGGCTGGCATAGTGTATGTTTGAAACTTTTCTAATATTTCATGAGACGAGAAGATAATAGAATGTATGGATGCCCCATAGGCCTTCAGAGCACTAATAGTATACTAGAAAACTGTTTTCATTTGTGATCTCCTTTTCTCCCTTCAGTGCTTACAAAACTCTCTGAAAGATATGAAGGATGTTGGCATTTTACAAGTGAAGGTTTTGAAGGCAGTAGATCTCCTAGCTGCAGATTTCTCGGGTATGGAACACTTTCATTTTTTAATTGCTTTACATTGTTATTGTCATTTATTTCATGCTTTGAAATGATATTATAGCAAAGTAAGATGTGGAATAAATAGAAGTAAATGTACACCCACTGTGCAGTTTTAGAAAGAACAACCAGAGAAAAAATAATGCGGACTTGAACAATTCTGTTCTCATAGTCCCCATTTTTGTTTTTTTGCAAAAAAAAAAAAAAATCAAATACTTATACTCTGATTCAGTATTGCATTAGACCTAGTTTGGATTCAGAGATATTTGTGGATTATTCATGTCATGGTTTCTTTCTTTCTTAAATTAACATGGGGGTTGAACTTAGCTGCAGCACCTCAAATCATGCTATTTGCCCTGGAGCCCTTCCCCTCTTCCCTTCTGGGTCTGAATGTGCTGCATCCTTCACAGCGGACAGAATGTGTTTATTGACCTGCGTGTGCTAGCATGTCTGTTTGGAATCTCACTGTGACAGTGAGCAGAGTTCAGACCCTAGGACCACCTTGCCGTGGACACCGTCTTTTCAGAAGTTTCTCTTGGTGGTTCAGGTGAAGTTTAGAGCAGGTATACTAGCGTAGTGCTGAAGTGTGCTCTATGGCATGTAGAGTCATCCAGATTCAACAGCATCTAATCGGCGAAGCTCATTGCCAAATTACCCCTGTGTGCTGACTAATAATTTAAATGCCTACATGACAGATGCTATTTACCAAGCAAATTGATGAACACAGAAAGTGTTCAACATCCATAGTTCTCATCTATTGACACTATATTGGGTGGTCCCCCCCCCCCACATTTGTATTTTTAGAATGTGGTCTACTCTTTTTGTTCCTCCATACAGAAACAATTATACTATACCTGTATAACTCCTAAACTTCTGAGACTGTGTTTAAGGAAACTCAAACATTGGGGAAGTGAATTTTAATTTTAAGCACATATTATTACAAAATTATGGAAAATATAAACTTAATTTAAAACAGGAGTTCTTTCCACCCGCTTCAGAGAACCAATTCAGTAGAAATGAATACTCCGTAGTCTCTTTATATAAACTGCTTCCCACCTGAAAGAAGTGCCCAGTGAGCAATTGCATATAATGCATTTGTTTGGCCAAATGGATGATATAAATTGTAAGGATTGTAGATGAAATACTAAAATGGTTACTTCTGATAGTCATTAATACAGTTGCAAATGTTTATAGTCTCATGTTAATTTGAAAATGCTCCTTTCTTTGTACTTATGTTTTATGAAAATGTTTAATATTTCAAGTGAGCCTTTGACAGTTAACTTGACTATTTAACATGTGTCTTTGATGTTAGCAGTTTGTCATTACTAGAACATGTCTAGAGTTATTCACTAGTTTCCTAGAGCGAATTGTTATTATTTCTAAGTGTTTAGAGCAGCCCTCTTTGAATCCACATTTGTTACTATCTCAAGAAATGTCTTAAGCCCCAAGAAATTATTTATGCCTTCAAGCAGTATCTTTTAAAGATTCCTTTTGTAGTTGTAGTTTTTTAACTACAAAAAAACTACTACTGCAAAAACTAATTGTAATGCATCCAAAGTTTTTTTCCCCTTATTTTAAAGACTGTTTTACAATAACATCCATCTGTGGGAAAACATTTTTACAACCTATTTTATTTTTTTCTATATTATCAGGGGTCCTTCAAGCCCCCAAACTAGTATTGATGAGAGTTATTTCAGGCCAATATGTCATCTCCTAAGAGTATTTTGAATATTTAAGGTAAATAGGAAAGAAAACAAAGGAATGAATGTAAATACTAGAAGATAAGTCAAAACCCTCTTTATGTAAGAATAATTTGGGGGGAGAAAAGTTATTTTTGTTTATTTTTATTATATTCAAAATATTTAACAGATAGTTTTGTAGTGGTGAAGCAGAGTATCAAAGGATGGCAGTGTTTAAAAGCAGCAGTCAACAATGAAATGACACTGTGTGGTTTGACCAAATGTCCTACTGCTTTACCATCTCTGTGTTATATTTATGAGAAAATTATCAGTATTCTGAATTGAGACAAAATGATTTGTCATTAGCTAAACATGTCCTTCGACCACATTGATGTTTGTTTTTAGAATCAAATCTCTGTTTCCCTTACATGTTCTCAAGATTGTAGATGAGTCCTCCAGCGTGTTCCCAACTAAGACATTGCTTTCCCATGACAGAGTGGACCTACTCCACACAGTTGTCATGCCATTTTTCTATGTGTGAAGTGAAATGCATTCATATTTCAGTACGATGGCACCATGGATGCAGTTTGTGTCTCCTGGAGGTTAGCATAATGACGTACATTATACGCTCCACCGTTATTGCTTTTATTATCATCTTTACCAATTCCCTGATGTATAGGTAAAAAAAAAAATCAGTATCACTTGATTGTGGATTAGAAGAGGCATGAATTATTGGCATGAATGAATTATTGTCAATTATTAAAAAAATAAGTGACTGTTTATATCCAACCTTTTCTAGGCAGCCTTATTTTATAACCAGGTGTTCATATATTGTGATTGATCAGGGAACAAAGTATTCACCTGCAAATTAAAAAGGAATACATTAGTACAAGTAAGTATCAGGGTCATTTTAGAAAGGGTACAAAAGGAAACTCCCCAGCCTTTCCACTTTTATCTATCCATACAAATTGCTTCTTTAACATAATGCTAAATAACTGATTCTTCCAGTTTTCTTCACTTAAGTTTCAGAAACCCTCATGGAGTACAAGCCTGAGGAGGGTAGTTGGGGCAGTGGTCACCACCAGCAAGGCCACAGTCACTGTTTGTAGGGTGCAAGGACCTCAAGTACTAGAGGGGGGGAATGAATGCAGGTGGCAAGACCTGTTGTCACAGCTTGCTAATCTTCAAGCCACCTATCTCTTTGCAAGTGACAATTAAAAAAGAAAATGAGCCATGCAAGACTCTATGACTAAACCAGGTATTCCTCATCAGTTGTTATTGATGTTATGATTGCATAGTCATAAAAAGAAATCAAATTTGAACACTTGTTACTATGCTGGTATTTTAGAATATTGGGATAACATTCATGTACTAAAGTGAATTTCTTTTCCATAAATACATTATCTTATATGAAGGAAATGATTAGTGTATTCAAATGTCACAAAATATATTAATAACCTAAGTCTACATATGTAACTGATATAAAGATATCTAGAAAAGATTAGGCTCTAGTATAAAAAAAATATTTATTTTTAAAATTATACATCCTTTTGTAAATATGGTATTGTGTGATTAAAAACTATTAATTATGAATAAATTTAAATTTAAATTTATCTTGGTTTTTTTTAGAGTTTCTAAAATTTATTTTTTTAAAAAAGAGAGTTTTTTTAATTACGGGAATTTGAATTAAGCTGTCTTGTCTTGGAGCACATCACTTTAAAACTGATGAAGGATATTCTAATGTTCTCAGGTGTATGCTTACATTAGTCATGGATACATGAACAGTTATTCTAATAGAAGAGCGTGTCAAATATTTTTATTAAAGATATCTCTTCAAAAAAACCTTTGCACACGGCACAACCTAAAATCTTTAGGTAATAGGTTATGCAGTCTGATGTAATTACTTTTGTAGTAACCAAACCATAGCCTTCGTTCATGAAACAAATGATATACCATGCTTTCAGAATCAAGGTGAATGTAGCTGTGTCTAAAGGTTTAATGAGACCAACATACTTCGCTTGGACTATTTCAAGAAAAGAAGCTCATGTTGTAATGATTAAAAGGGAGACAGACATTTTATTCTGGACAAAGCTGAAAAATAGTGCAACAGGTTCCTTATCCGCAGTGGAAGCCCTCACAGAGACCAGTGCTCTATATTCTGGTTTGCCCTGAGGCATATCAGATTCATGCATTAATACCATGGAGAAAAAGGGCAGATTTTTTAATCTCATAAAGTATAAAAAAGGTAACAAAATACCCAGTGGGTTCATAGAAAAGCTTTAGAGAATTGAAGTATTCTCTGGTCATAATTGTACAGTTAGATAAGAAGATGTACCTTATACATGAAAGAGATTAGCCAATGAAGAGAAGGAAACTCTTTTGACATGCTTGCAGAGTCATTCAAGAGAGTCTGATTATGATTGATAGAATGTTGTAATTTGTGGGGTTAATTCATTGTATCAGGACTGAGACCATTATGGCCACCTTTTGTATAATGTACATGAAAATATTCAGCATCTAGTCGATGGCTCTTCACTCTCATTCTTAGAATCAAAAAGTGTTTTCAAGCGTGTACCATCCTGTCAACAGTGTTTTCTATTTGTTGATCTTGTTCTTTAAAATAATTCTTACATAGCAAAACTCCCTCTAAAGTAATCCTCTTGTGGCAACATGGGTTCTGTTGGTCTCCCTCAGCTTTATTACAGCTACCCATACACTGTTATTGCTACCAGGACGGCCCCTGCCCATTAGAATGCTTTCAAAGTATAGAACTGTTAGAAACTTAGGAGAGTTTTCTTAAACTTGTTGTTCCAATAGTAGGAAATGATAAGAATTCCATGGCAGTTCGGATAGGATGGTATTAAGTAATATAACAAAATAATATCACATAAGCCTCATTATCCCCTTCTTCTGTAATTCATTCTCATCTTTATTTTTTATGTTTCTATCATTCTAATAATCTGTGTGTCATGATGAGAAGCTGGGGAGTTGTCAGGAAGCAATGGAAGAACAAAGCTGGAAGGATCAACTTTACTCATAGTATGGACCTGGTTTTTCTCCAAAAATCAACATGTTCTTTTTTTTTTTTTTCTTGTCATGCTTGAGATTTGTTGGCACTTCTTGCCATGAAAAAACATCCTTCAACAACAAAAATTTCCAAATCTATGAGGATCCTCTTGACCTATGAGTAGTGATGTCATTATTTGGACCCCTCTCTGTTGCCAGTGTTGACGAATGAGTCAATGATCACATTAACATAATCTCAAAATATCTATCAGAGGAATGGTAAAAACAACATGTTTTCAGGAA